GTGAGATCGGTGCTGCCTCTAGATTCAGTGGGTGTTGAACACTGAGGCTCATCCCTTCCCTGTACTGGAGGGGATTCCCCACCCATCCCCCTCCAATCACCAGTCTTAATTAATCACAAATTAGCCGTAATTTTAGTTGTTTCAAATATGTTTTTCGTTTATTTAATTGCTCATATTGTCTCGGATTTTCTGGCCGTGTATTCATGTGTCTGCATTATGTGATGTCTCATACACTTGCTCAATAAATACAGTGACAATGGGGTTAAAAAGGTTTTGCTAGTGTGGGCAAAGGGTTAAAAATGTTAGTGTGTAATGGGTTAAAAGGGTCTGAGAGTACAGGAGATGCTCCGCATGGCCCATCTCGAAGACGGAACCTCGGAATTCTGGACTATGAGACGAACTATCTCTTTCCTCTCTTCACTCTCCTTCCTCTCTCTGTGGTTCTCAAAAACCGGGCAGTGGTACGGCGTGTTTGTCTTTGACTCCGCCCCTTTTGCCACGCCCCCTCCTGGAGCAGCCTCGGTGGTTGCCGTGGAGTTGGTGGGTGTGGTCAGAGCGAGATGGAGGAGGGGGAGGGGGGTGGGGGAGTGGTGTTTGGGAGGGAGGTCTTGGAACTCTATGTTGGCAGAGCGTTCCACGCGACAGCCCCACATGTAGCAGCCGTAGACAAAGACCTCGCCCTCCGGTGGGGGGTCACGAACCTGGGGGGCCGTTTAAAATCTTAGGTCAAGCCTCGACCAATCGAACATACATAATGCATCAAGTATATAGGCTAATGTGTACACACACACTGTGTTGCATGTATTACTTTATGCAAGAGAGATGGTGAGAGGTTCAATGACAGCTGTGGTGTAAGACACTCTCGTGGTCCTTGTTTCTGGGAGTGACTTCGGCCAGAAAGAAGGTGTCTTCACTGGCTCCACAACCTCCACAGTGAGACTGCAGAACATGCTGACACACAATGGCAGAGGGAGAATAAATGGACGAGAAAGATGTTTATTGCACAGCAGGAAACAGTTGAGAAAGTTCTAACCAGCATAATTCCCTCTAAATACACGAGAATTTAAAGTTTTGCACTACAGAACTACAGAAGTTAGAAGCAATTGGGAAATGATATACAAAGTGTAATCTCAATGGTTTATCATTAACCCTTCCCTACCTGGGTGACAACACTGAGGAAGGCACGAGGGTTAAAAAATGCTCCCAGCCAGTAGGCGGGGACCTTGGCCACACCCACTGTCAAAACTTGATCCAGGAACGCCCGTCTGAGTGCGAGGTCGCGAACCCACTCCCCAAGGGGCCAGTTCTGGGGGGCCGCTGATGTTCCCACGGATTGTACCCAGAAAGAGGGGACCCTGTGAGAAAGGAGGGAGAGGGTGAGGAGGGAGAGGTGTGAGGAAAGGGAGTGGGGGTCCCCGCGAGAGGAAGTCTGGAGGACGAGGGAGAGGGAGGAGAGGGAGGAGTTAATAGCAGAGAGTGCAGAGGTCATCTGAGAGGTCTCGGAGGTCATGAAGTGTTGGAAGGCAAGCAAGGAGTTCTGGTGGTGGCTCAGTCTCTCTGAAACGGTTTCCTGTGGAGCAGAAGACAGACATCTGTATGTGTCACAATACCATAGCAAGGCAGGGTCCACCAGGTTTTCATGTGTCAGTACATATATAGGTGTTTCAATTAAAGTCCCACTTCGTATATAAAGACATTGGTAAAATGCTAATCATGTTTGCTCCCAAATTTGATGATTTGTTGATTGTTACTCGGCCAAAAAGGCACATTTTACAATTGACAATTGTCATTGTGAGTATGGGAGTGACACAATAATATGTACCAATTCATAAATGAAAAGCACTAAGTGCAAACCCTCGGCACACTATATAGAAATGTGGATGGAACCCATACACAAGTACCACCACAATTGATGGTCTTGAGACCATGCATAAAAAAGAACAGCATGTTTGTTATGCACTATTTCCATGTCAATAGGTTGAAAAAATGGCCAGCCCCATTTCTGTTTGAGGCCAAAAAATATATAAGGTTGAAAAATTGCCAATCTTTCATCTCTCTATTAATTTTCGTATTACCCAGGGATTGTTTAGTGCAAAAAAAACCTAAGGTTTAAAAAAAAAAGTAAAAACGCAGTGCTATGGACGCAGTGCTATGCCGAACTATACGCTGCCCTTTGAGAAACGTGGGTCAGTGGTAGATTTGTGGGTAAGGGGAGGAACCAGAGCTGTTCCCAGCCAGCCAATGCTCTGGACCATCTGACATTTTAGTGTGGGATCGAGGATTCGAACCCAGCACCTATGGTGTCAGTCCCCACGACTCTAACCACCTAGCCACTCGGGCTGGCCTGGAGAGGTAATGAAAAAACGTTCCATATATACCAACACTCCTATTACATCATTGTAAAAAAGGCGTACACACCCGGGATCGAACCAGGACCTCACGATCAAGAGAAGGGGGTGCTTATCCATCAGACCACCACCATTACTTGATGGGAACGGTGTAAATGAAAAGCACTAAAGTGCAAACCCTCGGCGAAGTAGCTCGCAGAGAGTCTGACACGGGCTAGCTACAGTAGTAGATAGCACGCGAGAGTCGATACACGCCATTCGTTGTGACTTCTTGTGCCTTCAAGATAGACAGAGCAAGCGGACCGGTCGAGCTAAATATAAGCGCATGCGCATTATCCGCCAGCGATAAAATGGCATTAGCCATATATACAATGCTGGAAGCGCTCTAGCTCTGCAACGGATCATTTTCAGAGAAAACCCCACATATTTTCTGACCCTCGTCGCCCATTAGGTAGATGGTATCGTTTCTGGGACGAACAGACACCCGAGAAGTGCAGACAGACAGACAGACAAACCCAACTACAGTACCCTCGCTGCGCATGCGCGCCGAGGGTAATAATGATTTTGACATCAGCCAAATTTCTCCCTTCATTACCTTAGTCCAGCCAGATGGTAGAATTTCTTGTATTTTCCTGATAGTGGCCTCCAGGGATAGTCTGATATTGCAGATACTGGTACCAATGTCTGTAGGAATGGGAATGTGACTGTCTCCCATACTCCATTCCACGACATGGGATGGAATGGGGACCCACGATGGAAGTTTTTCAGGTACGGCAGTGGGCAGAGTCAGTAGGTGACGAGTTGCATAATCCTCGAGTCGACCGTGTGGAAGTGGGCGTGTCTGGTGGGTGTGGTCAGAAGATTGCAGGGGCGAGTGTAGGTGGAGGAGGGAGAGGAGGGAGGCGAGGGAGGGGAGCAGGGTCTCCAGGTGACCTATCTTGATCTCGGGGGAGGTGTTTAGTCCACAGAGGTCAGGGGTCACGAGGAGAGGGGGCATGGCCGACTCCACCTCCTGGCAGAGGAGGGAAGGGCGTGTCCCGGGAGTGAAGAACAGCTTCGGAATGTGATACAGCTCTGTTTCGGAAACGACCAAAAGTTAATACCCAATCCAACATGTATGTGTGTAATGTCGATGTGAATAAGTATATTACCAGGTTCCCTGCGAGGACCTCCAGGATGGATCCACGCTTCAACCAGGAGGTCAGAGTACGAAGGTCAACAGGGTCACAGACGAGAGACCCAAAGAACACCTGACAAAGTGAACCAGTTAACAAACATGGAGGGGAGAATATAGGGATGGATAAGAAAAGAGAAAAAAAGGAGAGGGAAAAGGAATGGTAATGAGAATGGTGAGGAGAGGGAGAGAGGAGATCACCTCAGAGAGCATGTGACGAAGGCCACTCCACGAGAGAGGGGCGTAGCCACCGGTTGAAGTAGTCTCATTCTGAACCTGGACCACCGTCTTCAGATAGCGGAGGAAATCCTGGATCAGGGGCGAGTCATTGATCATACAAGAGGAATGCGGTGGGGAGTCGGACTGTTTCCAAATAGGGAGAGAATCTCTTGAAATGACGTGGGGAAATGGTGCCACACGCGGGCACTTATTAAAACTCATGGAGTAAACATGTTTCCATGTGTGGGTGTGTCTGTACTAACTGTGAGTAAGGTGTGAGGAAGAGGGGGGCAGTATCTCCATGAGATGGTGTGCATCTCTCTCCTGGTACGGAGGAGGGGGAAGAGGAGGGCGGAGGAGTGGAGGAGGGGCAGCCACTCCACTCTGGTGCTGGCCGAGAAGAGATCTGGAGGCATTGAGGCCAGGGTGTACAGCAGAGACCCCTTCAGAGACTGTGGGGGAGGGAATGGAGACGATAGCTGCATATAGAACGGTAGTAGAAACAAGGGATTATAAGAAGGGTGTTGTGTAAGGGGCTTTGAGCACAGGAGAACGAGAAGTACATGTTTTGAAGCACAGCAGGTAAGGTATCCATGACAGAAGAAGTAATGAAAAAGACCTAAAAAACAATGATGTATTATAGCTCCACTCACTGAGGGCGTGTCCAGGACAACTCTACAGACGCCGTGGAGGAGACTGACAGGAAGTGATGTCACACTTCCTGCGTGGACGGAGAGCCACACCCTCCAGCCATCACTGGGAGGGTAGGTCCGGAGCAGAGACGTCAACTCACTCACGACGTCCTCTGACTCCTGAGAATGAGGGAGGGAGAGAAACAAACAGGCGTAGGTCATTTGATTTAACTTTGCCTTTCTATACATCATAGTTGACATATGCGTTCTGTAACACAATTTTCATTTATAATGCTACTAGCGTATGCACTATGATATTATAGCTACACGAGAGATCACTGGCTGAGTCCCTAAATGGAGTGTGAAGTGTGGGTGACCTGAATGTTGTGGAGCAGGAGCCACCCTCCTTGTGAGCTGGTGACGGCCAGAGCCTCTCTGACTGCCTCCACCTCAGTCTCCCCTGTCCCGTGCACACACACCACTCTCAATGGTACCTGCACAGGAGGTACAAATGTCCAATTTCATATTAATCCAAGAAATTCACCAAGTTTTTCACGAGTGATGGTTAACTCAATTTTCCAGAATACATATGTCAAAGTTGTGAGGAGTGGTTTGTTTCTTACGTGGAGTTTTCTGGCAAGAGCTCTGATCTGATTGGTCGGAAGGTGAGGGTCGTCATGGAAGATAACGAGGGGGGTTTTCCCCTTGCTACAGGTCTTGTGAAACTTTCGGAGCTCCACTGGCATGTCATAGGAAGACCTGGCAGAGCAAGTGACAGAATTGTAGTTAGAAAATAGTAGAAAATAGAGTATTAGGTGTAATTGTCTGTCCCAATGGCTGAAGATTATGCCCCCAAGGACAGGGTTTCTAGGTATGTTTGTACCTGGGTGGCACTAGTACAGCCTCGGACACAGCTTGAATGGAGAGAGCAAGTCTATCTGGACGAATACCGCTGTTCAGTAGCAGTATTTGTATGAGATTGCGACTGTGGAAGGAGAGAGAGAGAGAGAGTGTGTCTGGATTAGAGGGATTCCACTGCAGACAGACAGAAGAAGAAAAGAGAGGGGGGTTCACCCTTCTTTCAGAGCCTTCTCGTCCAGTCTCTTGTCCCCCATTGTGACGTACAGTTCCGGGTGCTTGGACTGAAAAATGTGTCTCATGTTAGCCTGGAGACCCTGGGCATCGTCTGACATGGAGAGTCGCAGAGCTCTCTGTGCCCACAGGAAATGAGATGCCAACATCTGGAGAGGAGGGTGTGAAAATAACAAAGGTTTTTTCAATAGTCCAACTATAGTGAGAGTAAAAGCAATGGTTTGTTTGCTGTACTTTCAACCGCACCAAATCATAAAATCATCATCAAAATTTGGGAATTCAATTCAAAATTAACGAAGCTTTCTCGAACTAAAGTCCCCGCTATAACTATTCATCTGGGGTATATACCGATAACCCACCAGAAGAGACTGCCACTGAGCCTCCAGTATCCAGTCGTAAGGTCTCCGGCCGAGAGAGACTGGTGTGGAGTGGGTGAGGTCCACCCCGGTCTGGGTCGCCAGTCCCTTCACTGCATACTCCCTCCCTGGAGAGGGTCTGAGGAGGTAGCTGATCTCATGGTGGGTCACCACTCCTCCACTCAGCTCCAGCTGGAGTATTAGAGATTGATAGTGAAGCTGAGTGAGAGATGCTAATAGAATTCATGACATCTGAGCTCTGAACCACAACAACAGTCATAGTGTAGTGACACCTGTAGAACGAGGGAGAAGGCCAGAAGAAGCCTGTCCCTCTCCACCATTCCTCTGGAGAAGTGCTGATAGGCAAACCGGGTCATCTTCTCCACCACTGACTCCGCCCCCTGCACGTGACTACACAGAGAGGAGAGACAATGACATCATCTATTATCAGGAGAGAAAAGGGAGGGGTTAATTACATCATCTATTATCAGGATAGGAAATGGAGGGGTTAATTACATCATCTATTATCAGGAGAGGAAATGGAGGGGTTAATTACATCATCTATTATCAGGAGAGGAAATGGAGGGGTTAATTACATCATCTATTATCAGGAGAGGAAATGGAGGGGTTAATTACATCATCTATTAGCCCTAGAAATGGAGGGGTTAATTACATCATCTATTATCAGGAGAGGAAATGGAGGGGTTAATTACACTTCCAGGGGGAGTTTTAAGGCCAAAATGACTTCCAGAGAAAAAGCATGTAAAGTGCTAAACTCAATGATTTTGCAGAACCTGGCATATATATACACACTAGTATTATATGAAGCACCAAAACTCAAGCAAACATAAAAATGTGCATAATTATTGGGAGCTATATAGTGTTGAAATCTTGCAGGCTAACACTCTCCCCCCTCTCTCTCTCTCCTCACCTCCCCATCTGCTCCAGGAAAGACAGGAACACTGACTCCACATAGTCGTAAGAAACGGTGTACAGCGGGAGGGAAATCCCTGTTGCCATGACCACGGAGGAGATGAGAGCGGCTCGCGAGGCGAGGGAGGAGAGAGAGGACAGCTGAACCCGGGTCATCCTGTCCAGGGAATCCAGAGCTCCCGCCAAACTGGGCCACAGAGAAAGAGGGATACCATACCATGTGTAGCTGGTTTTAGTAACAAAATGTTCGTCTAATTTTCATTCTTGTACCATGATTCTTGAGTGAAAAATAAGTTCTTTCTCAAAATTCTGAGGACAAGAGCTTGCCCCACAATATTAAATAGGGTGGATGTCTCAAGGTATGTAGTTGACACGTTTGCTTTGCCCTTGCCTTGCTACACACCTCTGTTGTCGTTACTTTACGAACCTGTCTTTGGAGTTGTTGTGCGATGTGTTGAGGAGGAGAAGGTCCCTGGTGGTCTGGTGGTCAGAGTGGACACAGAGGTCAGAGGAGAGGAGAGCCAGGAGCTCTCTCTCTGTCTCCTCAATCTTCCCACTCTGGCTGTGGACCTCCTGGTGTGGGGAGAGGCAGGGTGTGTGTGTGTGGAATTAGCAAAGAGAGAATAAGGAAATGAGAAAAGGTGTACAACGCACATGTCGAAGGTGCTCCCTCTCCTGTGCAGTCTTTGAGTTCTGTTGCCACAGGAACCGGTCCAGTAGCAAGTCCCTGACTCCGCCCACTTCCGGCCAAAACACCACCACCGTTGTCGCGGCAACCAACTCGCTGGGGAGCTCCCTTGACAACGAGGTAGTCACTAGCACCAGCCTAAAACAAAAGTCACAATCACTGAACGAGTATATTACATAACACATGGACACGTTTCTCACTTGAAATGAGGGTGAATCTCCACCTCTTTCTTCTCAATCTGGGTGAGGTAATCATTACATCATGCTAAATACACATTGTGTACAAATACCTTGATCTTGGAGGGGCGTGAGCTGGTGTCCTGGGGGCATTTGAGGAGGTAAGAGAGGAGAGCATTGGAGGATAGTCTCTGTCCCTCCACTCCAGTCACTGCCAGAGTGGAGCCTGTCTTCATGGCCTCAGTGAGACTGGACTGCAGGCCGGGAGACTGGGAGGAGGCAGAGGGAAAGTCAGATCTTGACCAATTCAGCATGTAAGTAAATGAACTTGACAACCTCATAATTCTAGAGGCATATGCCTTGACAACCTCGGCATATGCCTCCACAACGAAGAGACACTTACTGAAAAAACAGAAAACTGACGCTATATTTGTTTACCTCCATCTTTAGTAAACAAATTGTAAATTTAGTACTGCTAGATTCGTTAAAAAAGCTCTTGAAGGAGGTACATACGTACGTACGTATGTACCTCAAAGTCCACAAGTCTTGAACCTTGGTAGTGACGGGAGATCCAGGGAGCTGCCATGTTGAATGGGTCGGATATGAGGGGCGGGGAGTGGGTGTGGCCTCGAGAGATGACACACGCCGACACTCTGGAGGTGAGGTCAGGGGGAAGTCCCTCCAATTCCAGCTGGTACAACCCCGTCTTGAGAGAGAGTTGAGTAAGCACGTCAGAGTCCACACACAGTAGTGTATATATGTGTTATACGTACCTGTCCCATCATAAAGAGGGGATACTCCTCAATCTTGAGCAGCTGATTGGTCTCCTCCTCGGCCACCATCTTAGTCTCGAGGCACACTCCAGTCAGAGCTGACACCATCTTGATCCTGCACAGAGTATCCAAAGGTTCATACTCAGCAGGTGAGTGTATACTGCTGTTAGCTTCTGAGGAAGTTTGCTATATAGAGGCAGCGAAATTTACCCATTTTGTGAGCAGGATCAGTTGGGGGTAAAAAACACCGCCTATTACATTAACCTGGAGAGTATGGGGTAGGGCCCAGTGTAGGTGGTGATTGCTGCCGCTAGGAGACAGTTGGTTGCCAGGAGATGCTCCGAGGGGGTGTGGTCAAGACGGTACTGCCACGCCTCCTGTCTGTACTTGAGACTAGTGTGGTTGGGGAAGAAGGTGACCAGGGAAGTGTATAAGAGATGAGGAGTATATACATTAACTCCATTGTAGCTACGTAGTGCATTGGAAGAGGGTGGCCTAAATACTTTGACTATAGCTGGAGAGAGCAGTGGGATAGGGTGGGCTAAACTGTTCGTACTTTTAGCAAGCAAGTGGGGAGAAAGACAGGCCAACCAATGATCCTAAATACTTTGACTATAGCTGGAGAGAGCAGTGGGATAGGGTGGGCTAAACTGTTCGTACTTTTAGCAAGCAAGTGGGGAGAAAGACAGGCCAACCAATAATCCTAAATACTTTGACTATAGCTGGAGAGAGCAGTGAGATAGGGTGGGCTAAACTGTTCGTACTTTTAGCAAGCAAGTGGGGAGAAAGACAGGCCAACCAATATTGACTATAGCTGGAGAGAGCAGTGGGATAGGGTGGGCTAAACTGTTTGTACTTTTAGCAAGCAAGCGGGGAGAAAGACAGGCCAACCAATAATCCTAAATACTTTGACTATAGCTGGAGAGAGCAGTGGGATAAGGTGGGCTAAACTTTTCGTACTTTTAGCAAGCAAGTGGAGGGAAGGACAGACCAACCAACCATCCTGAATACCTCGACTATAGCTGGAGTGTGCAGTGTTCTAAGAACAATATGGTGTGTACTCGACCTATCCAGGAGATGAGAGGCAGATTTGAGGCTCTCGGCCAGCTGAGAACATGTCTGGCCGAGTGAGTGTTTCTTCACAGCAGCAGCGTTGAACTCCTCCTGAAGATCTCTCAGCTGTAGGGACGAGGGAGAGGAAACCCAGTAGTATGACTGTATGCATAGGTAACTCTGATGGGGACCTGCTGGCGTGGAGATCTAAGTTCTGTCACTGACTGAGCAATGTTGGCCACTAAATATAGCGTGAAACTACTGAATATTCGCACTCAAGTTCGTTTGCTCGCCAAAAATCTGTTCCATTCATTCTAGTAAGAGTTTAGTAAGAAGTCTGAAGAGAGGTTTTCCTGGCCCACCTCTTCCTCTAGTCTCCTGAGACTGGCTTCACCCAGCTCAGTCTCTTCAACTCTCTCCCTCAACTCAACCCCCGTCATTTGTCTGCCTCCTCTGGTGGGGCACGTGGCCACACTTCCTCTCAACTGCTGGTCAAGGTCTGAGCTCCTCTGCCGAGCTCTGCACGGGGGGGGACATGAGGGGACTTACACAGTACATATACACCGGGAAAAGTCACGAAAGATCTCTTCCACAAACTATTCCAGCTATAATGGTATGGGTGATAGGACTGTAGAAATAACTCGGGGATTGTAAAAATTTCAAACAACTTGAATCTCACGAAAATCGCCAGTATATTTGCGCCAACAGCTGACCACATTAATTATGTTTCCACTATAGTTTACAGCAATTTCTTTTTCACGGAAAATTGCTGTTACGATACCTGTTGAGTTTTTCGTGGGCCAGCAAGTGGCTCTGGAAGAGACCCGTGTACCTCAACATCCCGACGGCAAACCGGAATATTATCCCCAAAACTTCATCCGCGTGCCTCGCTGCAGAGAGTGTCACCAGCCCGTGTGTCTGGAGTCCAGTCCTTCCAATCTCCTTCCTCACACCTCCTCCTCCTTCACCACCCTCCCCGGTACACAGGTGGGCCTTGATGAGATTCATAGCCTCCACTGTGAGGCCGTCCCTCCAATTAATCCCCGAGACGAGGTCCAGAAAGTTCTGCGAGTCTCCAATCGCTAGTTTGATGGCTGTCCATCTCTCGCGCGCCTCTCGTAGATTGGACGAGGGAGGAATCGTGCTCACCGGAGGACAGATGGAGGCTTTTCGAGCCCTAGGCTGTTTAACTGTAAGAGCAAAAAACTTTAGAGCAACAGTAAAAAAACACAAATTGAAACCCCGCACAAAGTGTGAATGTCACACTAAGGGGTCTTGGCAAAGTGAGAAGTAGAACGTACGGCTGTCTGAGGCACTTGAGGAGGCACTGGATCGAAGACTGTCTTCTTCGGGTGCCTCTGAAGCCTCTCCTTTCCCCCCTCCCCCTCCTCCTCCCCCTCCTCTTCCTCTGTGCTGGCTGAGGAGGGTCAGCATGACTCTGCATGACGGTGCAGACCACAGCAGGAGGACTGGGCAGGCTCTTAATCTGGTCCACTGTGTTTCGATTGATCCGCTCCTCACAGTACTGCACCTGAACAAACCAAATGAAGTTTCTATAATATACGAGCACCTAAGATTCTTTAGAGGAGGCGTATACGGTGGAATTGTTCGGCTCTGCTTGATCTATGGCAAGACGGGCTGAAAAAGCTGATTCTATATACACCTAACACTGTACCATCAGATTAGAGCTGTGGTATATGCTAAACTCTATGGTAAGTACGTGCAAACAGCATTGTCTGCATCTCCCCATACCTCATCCCTGGCAGCGATCATGGCCTTCCTCGCCTCCTCCTCCTCTCTCTGTGCATCTCTCTCCCTCTCCCTGGCCATTGCCAGCTGCAGCTCCAGTCTCGAGCCCTTCTTCCTCAGACACGACCCCAGGAGGTTGGCCAGGAACTCATCCTCGTCCTCGCAATCCTCGGCCATCGCCTTCTCCTCCTCTGCCGTCAGCTGGATGGCGCTCATTACACTTCCACTGCCACTCAGTAGAGCCCTCACTCTCTCAACCTGGCCACGGGAAAAGTTGGAGAAAGAGACAATATTGGTGTGTGATACACGAGTCTCCACACCTCCAATTAAACACAAACTCTATACTTCTTTGGAAATGCTGTTTGACCCGCTCACCTGGCAAGATTTCCCAGTCAGTTTCTCAAGTAGCTGGGAGCATTGTTGGCAGACCGTCGTGTGCTCTTTCTGCTGATTGCTAGAGATTCTCTCATCCTCCCCACCTCTTTCTCTGTCCTCTCCAGCGACTGGAGGGCCCTCTTCAGCTGCTCCACTCTCCTCCTGCGACAACTTCTTCACGGAGTAGATTCCACAGAAGTTCTCGAGGAGAGAGCGGAATGTGAGGGGTCCGATGTAGGGGGTCGAGAATTCTCCAGCGAACCCCGTGTTTGAATTGTGGCCCCCCAGTTCTCGTTCGATTCCAACCACCCTCTCCATTAGTAACTGGAACGAAGTTAGAGATGAAGGATCGGCCGATGATTGTCCTGTTGTGGGGTCTGTGGAGGGGAGGTGTCCTGCTAGCTGAAGGTGTCCTGATTGCTTCAGGACAAGCTGGTGGATCCCACGCATACAATCATACAGAGGTTCCCTATAGATGATGTCACTATGACGTAATTGGATTACATCACAATGAGGTAATAGACCTGATGTTTTCCTTGAGAGGGACAGCGAGAGAGGAGGTGCGATAAAGAGAGTTTGATAGTTCGACGTTGGTCCAACCTGGTGCCCAGACCATCTGACATTTCCCCATTAGACCAGGGAACAATCTAGGATGAGAAAAATACATACATACATACAGTGGAGCCCCTCTCTGAGGCACCCCATGCAATGAGGACACCTCTCTAAGGCACCCCATGCAATGAGGACACCTCTCTTATAAAGCAAAGACACTTTTCCTTCCCCAACTTAAAATAAAGATGCCATGCTAATATGGACACTTTTCTGTCCATTGGTGTCCCAGATTAGAGGGGTTCGGACTGAGGTGTGGGGAGAATAGAGGCTACACTGTGACTGGGGGTGAAGAGGGTAGAGGAGGGAGAGACACACATGACCAGGCGAAAGTAGCGTGCGATGCGTGCGGTGAAATACTGCATTGGATGAGTGTCCTCACTGGGAAAGTCTCTCTTGATGGACGGACCCAGAGCCTGTCGGGAAAATGCAGATAAAAAGGTGTAAAGAACTCTACATAGCTTTTCTTCTGAGTGGCTTACGTGAAGAATTCCGCTCATTTCGTCGTTGGAGAAGAGGGAAGGGAGTTCGCCGGTGGCAAAGAGAGAGTTCAGTTCCTGCAGGAACTCCTACTTTCTCCATGTCCTCCTCCTAAGTGACAAACATGTACTTATAACAGTTCT